CCTCATGGAGAAAGCCGAGTTCCTTCAGAAGTCACGAGGCCGATGCTTTTTCTAACATCCAGAGTGACAATTTTTATGGGTACATGGAACGTCCAGACAATGTAGGAGACCGAGAAGACCAGTCAAATCGCAACGGAAATGAGGAGGTACAACTTGGCTGTACTGGGAATCAGCAAAACCACTTGAACCCAAGGTGGACAACAAAGGCTAGATACGGGAGAGATGCTACTATACTCCGGTCACGAAGAGGAAAATGCTCCGCACACTCAGGGAGTTGCTCTAATGTTGTCCAAGGAAGCACGAAATGCACTTGTAGGAGGGCAATCTCACGGATCCAGAATCATCAAAGCATCATTCAAAACAAAGAGGGAGGAGATCACAATGAATGTTATCCAATGTTATGCACCCACCAATGATAGCAAAGACGACATTAAATATCAGTTCTACGAGCGGCTACAGTCAATCATAGAGAAGTGCCCAAGAAAGGCCTTCACCATTCTGATGAGAGGTCTAAACGCCAAAGTCGGAATAGACAACACCGTATATGAAGATATCATGGGACGATGTGGACTGGGAGAGGGAAACGAAAATGAGGAAAAATTTGTAGATTTGTGTGCATTCAACAAATTGGTCATAGGAGGCACAATATTTCCACACAAACGTATACACAAAGTTACATAGATCTCACCGGACCACACCACAGAGAACCAGGTAGATCATATTTGCATCAATAAAAAATTCGGAAGGACAATGAAAGATGTGAGAACCAAGAGAGGAGCTGAAATAGCTTCAGATCACCACCTAGTTGTGGCCAATTTAAAACTGAAACTAAATAAGAACTGGACAACTGAACAAACAGCAATACAAAGGTTCAATACAGCCTTCCTTCGAGATACTGACAAACTCAATGAATTTAAGATAGCTCTAAACAACAGGTTCCAAGCCTTACATGATCTACTAAAGGAAGAAGAGACTACTATGGAGGACAACTGGAAAGGCATCAAAAAAGCATTGAATACAACGAGTCAAGAGGTTCTGAGCCTCAAGAAGCATCATCATAAGGAATGGATCTCAATAGAAATACTGGACAAGATCAAAGAAAGGAAAAACAAGAAGGCAGCAATTAATAACAGCCGAACACGAGCAGAGGAAGTCAAGGCACAAGTTGAGTACACAGAATCAAACAAGAAAGTGAAGAAAAGCATTAAAACCGACAAGCAGAAATAAGTGGAAGAACTAGCAACGACGGCGGAAAAAGCTGCAATAGAAGGAAATATGAACCAACTACATGAAACAACGAAGAAACTAGCAGGGAAATATAGTAAACCAGAGAGACCGGTCAAGGACAAAGAAGGCAGGCCAATCACTGAAATTCAACAACAGCGAAACAGATGGGTAGAGTACCTCGACAAACTCCTGAATAGACCGGCTCCAATGAGTCCACCGGATATCGATGCAATACACACAGATATTCCCATAGATGTCGATCTACCAACGATGGAGGAAATCAGAATGGCCATCAGACAAATCAAGAGCGGGCAAGCACCAGGACCTGACAACATACCAGCTGAAGCACTGAAGTCAGACATCGAAGTAACTACAAACATGCTTGACCTTCTATTCAAAAAGATTTGGGGGAGGGACAAGTGCCGATGGACTGAAAAGAAGGACACCTCATCAAGATCCCAACGAAAGGAGATCTGTACAAATGTGAAAACTACAGAGGGATTACACTACTGTCAATACCAGGGAAAGTCTTTAACAGATTGTTGCTGAACCGGATGAAAGACGCAGTAGACGCCCAACTCCGAGATCAACAAGCTGGATTCCGTAAGGATTGCGACACTACAGATCATCGTTGGACAATCAATTGAGTGGAACTCGTCGCTGTACATCAACTTCATTGATTATGAAAAGGCTTTTGACAGTGTAGATGGGTGAACATTATGCAAACACTATGGAGTTCTTGAGGAGATTGTCAACATTATCCGGAACTCATACAACGGACTACAGTGGAAAGTAGTGCATGGAGGACAGCTGACAGATGCATTCCAAGTAAGGACCGGAGTAAGACAAGGCTGTTTACTCTCTCCCTTCCTCTTTCTTCTGGTGGTCGACTGGATTATGAAGACCTCGACATCTGAGGGAAAACACGGCATACAATGAACGGCTCAGAAACTACTGGACGATTTGGACTTCGCAGATGACCTAGCCCTCCTATCGCATACACACGAACAGATGCAGACAAAGACAGCTAGTGTAGCAGAAGTCTCTGCATCAGTAGGTCTCAACATACACAAGGGGAAAACCAAGGTCCTCAAATACAACATGGAGAACACCAATCCAATCAAACTTTTTGGCGAAACTCTGGAAGATGTAGAATCCTTCACATACATGGGGAGCATCATCGATGAATAAGGAGGTTGAAATGCAGAAGTAAAGGCGAGGATCGGCACATCAAGGGATGCATTCCTACAATTGTAGGACATATGGAACTCAAAACAACTTTCAACCAATATCAAAGTGAGAATCTTCAATACCAACGTCAAGGCAGTTCTACTGTTTGGAGCTGAAACTTGGAGAACTACAACAACCACAATCAAGAAAGTACAAGTATTTATAAATAGCTGTCTACGCAAGATACTCAACATCCATTGGCCGGATACCATCAGCAATAGCCTTCTGTGGTAGAGAACAAACCAACTTCCAGCTGAAGAAGAAATTAGGAAAAGACGATGGAAATGGATAGGACATACATTACGCAAATCGTCAAACTGCATGACAAGGCTAGCTCTAATTTGGAATCCTGAAGGGAAGCGAAAAAGAGGAAGGCCAAAGAACACATTGCGTCGGATAATAGAAGCAGATATGAAAACGATGAATTACAACTGGACGGAGCTAGAAAGGTTTGCCCAGGACAGGGTTGAATGGAGAATGCTGGTGAGCGGCCTATGTCCCTTCACGAGGAGTAACAGGCGTAAGTAAGTAAGTAAGTCTTCAACAAGATCAAAAACAATAACACTAAAGAGCAGACGATGACATCCTTGGACATAACATAATTGTAGACAAATGTACCACACAGGGAGATTGTTGAGTATCATTATGAACAACTTAGAGAACAGGAAATAGAGACTACAGTCCCTGTGGATGTCATGAAGGAATTATTACCAAAATGTACTACGAACGTAAACTTCAAATTCAATGGCGAAATATATCGGGATATAAATGATGTCACAATGGGTTCACCACTAGTTCTCAAATTGGCTTATATTTTTCTCACTAAATTAGGAAACGATTCATCAGCAAAGAATATCGGCAAGTTTGATCTTACTGTCGATATATGGACAACACGTCTATTCATTGTTGCGATCGTACTGACCGGATAGAGACACTTAGGTGATTTAATGAAATTCATCTATCTATTAAATTCCTATGTGACGAAAAGAGTGGAGACAGAATAGCCTTCCCAGATGTTCTACTAACGAAAAGAATAGATGGGTCACTAACAAGAAACTTGAACAAAAAACTACTTCAACCGGCTAATATACATATTTTCTTAGTTTTTCTCTTTACAATCTAAGAGGAACTTGATAAAGACACTTCATTATAGAACCATGACCATATGCTCCCTAGATGAGGTTGATGAAGTAACGAAGGCATTGCGTATTACTCTGAAGGAAAATGGATATCTGGAGAAATTTATGAATAAACATTTAGCCAGGTGTTCTAGGAATTTGTGCTTTCTTGTTTATGAGCACCTCCTAGTGTGGTTAAGCAAAAGTATAGTTAAAACTGTTAACAGCTCAATTTTAGCTCATTTAGTACAAACGGAGCATACAACTAACATGGAGCAGTCATCTACAATAATATATTGTAGTAACATCAGTTTGCCTAAATCCATCAAACTCCTGAAGCAATAGTCATTCGAATAAAAAAACCTGGAGCTTTGCGTCCAGAAAAAATATATTCAATCACTCCTTTCACCTTGGCCAACTTCTAGCCCAATTAGTTGATAATCATTTTGATCATATTCGATTAATGGCAAAGATGGATAGTGGATAGCAGTGGAATCCAGGACGCGCGTTTCGTCCTGTTTGGGACTCGTCAGCCGGATGTACCTGCATCTCAGAGTTGATGTTCACTCCGGGACTCGAACTCAGTACCGTTCGCTTCAAACGCCATCGCGTTATCCACTTAGCTACTGAGTCCTGATAGCCACTTGCTTGTACAATGGGGTGAAGTTTAATTCACTTGATATTGTTTTTACTTGAATCTTCCGATTGATGTTTTAGGACTGAAATTGATCAGTCTCTTGAGAGACATCAATGGGAAGATTCAAGTAAAAACAATATCAAGTGAATATTCGATTAATGTTTATACAACCTTCCTCTATGCATTTTCATAGCTTAAATTATTATTACTGTTGTTATTACCATTGTTATCACTATTATTATAACACATGTTCTTCAATTGTAGATTTACTGTTCTTGCTTTGCCGATCCGCGCCTTCACATCTGCACCAGATCCACCCTGTTCATCAATGATGCTGCCCAAATAAGTAAAGGTTTTTACATCTTCCAAATTTTCTCCATCAAGTGTGATTAGATTGGTGCATGTTATATTGTATCAGAGAATCTTGCTTTTCTCTTTGTGTATATTGAGATCTACTGATACTGAGACTTCTGCTACACTAATCATCTTCTCCTGTATTTGTTGTTGCATATGCGATAGAAGAGCCAGATCATCTACAAAGTCTAAATCAACCAACTGCATCCTATCTGTCCACTGTATTCCATGTTTCCCCCCCTTCCCAGATACATACATTGAAAAAAAAGAAACTTTTCATTAAGTAAAGAAATATTTGATAAAAATCAATGAGTAAAATTGATTTTATTTTTTCTTTCAAAATATGCATGTATCTAAGTGCATCTATTTTCTGATATGAACTTTTCAATAAAGAAATTTTATTTCTTTTATTTGTTTTAATTGTATATAAATATAAGTTATTAAATTGAATTATATTTAAATGTTCATTGTTTAGTTTATATCATTCAATCATCTATTGAAATTGAATAAAAGTAATTTTATTTAAAAGAAGAAGAAGAAAGAAAAATAGGCGATAAAATATGAAATTAATTAATTTTTATTTGATTACATGTATACTATTAATTTATAGTGATCAAGGATTTTCACATGATGATTATGATGATGATGCTAGTTCATTTTTCGATTATGGAAATAATTTATATGGTGGATATTATTCAGGAAATTATGATGATGATCATCAACATCCACCACCAGATAATCCAGATGGAGAAGGTCCACCACCACCACCACCACCCCCACCACCACCACCACGACCATCACCACCATCACGACCATCACCACCATCACGACCATCACCACCTCGGAATGATGGTCAGCAGCAACAACAAATGCCTCCACCACCTCCACCACCTCCACGTCGTGAAGAACCTCAAGGACCAGATCGGCCTGATGGTGACAGAGATCATTATCGGCCACATAATAACCGCAGTTATCATCACCGATATTATGATGATTTAGATAGATATGATATGGAAGTGAGAGATTTAGTTTTCAGTGGATATCATCATTATAGACCAAAATATTATGGAGAAGGTCATGATTTAAAAGGTGAAGCAGAGTATGGTTATACAGCAAAAGATCCTACTAAATATGATCAATATGGGAATTATTTACCTGATTATAGCAATAAACCGCAAAATACTCCACCGCCTATACCTGCTCCCAGTGCATTACAAAATGGTGATGGTGGATCAAATGGTAACGAAAATCATGGTCACACACCAAAAGATCCTACCAGATATGATCGATATAAGAATTATATACCTAATAAGCACGTAGATCCGGAAAATCTTCCACCGCCTATACCTGTTCCTAATGCAGGACAAAACGATAATGATGAAGAGGAAAATGATAAACACGATGAAGAAGAAGAAGAGAACGAATCTAAGCCGAAAAAGTATGTTAAATATAAGAAATATAAAACGTCAACCAAACGGACGTCACGTAGGAAAAACGGAAAATCGAAAAAATACAGAAAGAAAGGAAAGAAAGGAAAGTATGGAAGTAAAGGAAAGTATAAAAAATATCGGTATAAGTATACGACAGAAGAAATGCCACATCCAACACCATATCCAGAAGAGCCAGTTCCTCCACCAGATGAGGAAGAAAACGAAGGAAGCCAAGAAGAGTGATGGTGGTAAATACAGATGAGTCAAATGCAAGCGAAAACAAAATGAAAAATGGTCTTTATCTTAAGCTAGTATGAATTGTTGATACAAATGAAATGTTATAGTGATAATAATAGTAATGATAATAATAATGATAATAATAACATAACGCTATATATTACAACTAATAAATACAAATTCTTTATTCATTAATTCATTTGTAAATGTATTCAAAGTGAAAAAAATATATACGAGTAATTAAGAAAAGAGTTGTGAGTTTCATTTTGTTTTCTAATCTAGTTACATATGAACATTTATGGTAACAATATTGATCGCACAGGAAAAAAATCTTCATCAAAACTGATTACATAATGAATAAGTAAGATTAATTAAGAAATGTCATGTCTACTAAGAATAATCATTTATATTCTATGTAAATAATGAAAGATTATTTTCTATAATTGAACCATAGTATAAAAGGCAATAGATTTTCTAATATTAGAATATTAAGATTAAAAATAAAACAAAATAAGATCACTCCAAAAGAATTATTCTTTGAAAGTAATCTATCGAATCAAAAGAATTTGAATTGAAAGGGGTGTCGAGTATCTATCTATCTATCTATCTATCTATCTATCTATCTATCTATCTATCTATCTATCTATCTATCTATCTATCTATCTATCTATCTCTCTCTCTCTCTCTCTATATATATATATATATATATATATATATATATATATATATATATATATATATATATATATATATATATATATATATATATATTGAAGATATTTTAATACACTTTTCATTTCATATTACATGTGTCATTTACACATTAAAGTAAACGTCTATTTGAAATATTGTTTCCTTGAAAAAGCTTGAACCAGATTGCCAGACGAAACGTTGGATTTACTTCAAATTCTTTTGCTAAGATTTTACAAATACCATTCTTTCTTTTTAATTATTCATTTTAGTTTGATCATCTATTTAGTTTATAGTTAATCAATGAACCACATACTTTTATTCCTATTTAATCATTGTAATGTTTGAATAATATTCTGTTGAAAAAGTTTAGACTAGATTACTAGGTGAAATGTTAGATTGCAGTCTTAAGTCTCAATGGGAAGATACAAGCCATACAATACCAAGTTTATTCAAATTCACCCCATCGTACAAGCAAGTGGCCATCAGGACTCAGTAGCTAAGTGTATAACGTGATGGCGTTTGAAGCGAATGGTACTGGGTTCGAGTCCCAGGGTTAATATCAACTCTGAGATGCAGATACATCCAGTTGACGAGTTTCGAATAGGACGAAACGCGCGTCCTGGATTCCACTGCTAGCCACTATCTATCATTGCTTACAAGAATGTTAGATTTAATTTAAATTTATTCGCTTAGATTTTACAAATACATTTCTTCTTCTTTAATATCTAAGATATGGTGAAAAAATTCAGTTTTATTCGCATTTGTATCGGAACAATTGTTAAGATTTCAATGGAATAGTTTAACAAATATTGAATATGGATTATATGCAAGAAATAAACTATGAAAATTATATTCGAACTAATTCTATTATTTCTATCGGCTAATCGGTCTAAAATTTTTCAGAAAAATAATTGATTCAGTTAGTCAGTCAGTTACAACGTAGGATCAGGCACATATGTGCATCGATTCAAGTTACCACAACTCACTAACACAACAAGGTGAACACCAAATTCACAGAAGTAGTGACATCAATGGCAGTAATATATAAAAGAAAGATCGCATATAAGGATATAATACAGAGAAAAAGAATTAGTTCGTAGAAAGAAAAGTATAAAGTTATTTTAATCTCACAGTTTAAGAGAAGACAAAGAGTGTAAACACCAACGTCATTGTGATCAATTCTGAGCTATGTCTGCAGAGACACGCAAACCCCAACCAAGTGGTCTGCATTTAGCAACATGGTTCAGACTAGAAGTTAGTGACTTCAAGGACTGATATCATGTTTTGGTTTGACTGCCTCTAACAATCTTCCAACCGTCTCCAACACTACTCAGAACTGAGCGTCGTGGTAATCATTGTTCAGGCATACGTAACATGTAGCCCAACTATCTCAGTCGATATAGATTCACAACCTCAACAAGTGATTTACCATCATTCCCTAATACCCTGTATCTAACCTTACTACTAGTTAAACTTCAATCGTTTAGACTATTTTAAACATAATATTTCCATTTAATATTTTTATTGTTTTACATAAAAGTTGTTATGAGAAAACACTCTAAGCTTTTTGAAGTCTTATTCAACCAAATTTCAAGTTCTCTTTTTTTTTATTTTCTGTTTGTTTGTACTTGTACTAGAAATTATTCGATAATATTGATTTATTGTTTAGAGTGCTATAATTCATTCTAATTTTCCCAAATATCTACACTTCAGTTGTCATTCAATTTGTCTGGTTGATCTTTATTGTTTTTTTACATATAAATATTTGATCATTTAATGTGAAGTACATTGTTTGAAAAAAATACTTTAATCTTATTATCCAAATCAAGGTTGGGTAATGTTCATTATTAAAATAGGTTTGCTACTTTGTCGAAAAATGAATTCATACAAACGACTAAGTGAAATGATAGTTGTAACAGTTAATTGTAAAACAATTAATGGAATCGATGCCAAGGTTGGATTTGATACATTCAGTTGATGTTGTTTACCTGTATCTTCCCATTGTTATTTAGGACTGCAATTGATCAGTCTCTTATTGGCATGTGTACATCCTGTGAGGATTGCCTCGAAATAGTCTTAAGTCATAAGCTTTTTAAGCAAAGATTAATAGTGAATAGCAGTAGAATCCAGAACGCGCGTTTCTTCCTATTTGGAACTCGTCAACTGTATGCACCTGCATCTCAGAGTTGAAACGCGTTTGAAACGAATGGTACTGGGTTCGAATCTGAGGGTGAATATCAACTCAGGTGAAGATACATTCAGCCGACGAGTCTCAAATAGGACGAAACGTGCGTCCTGGATTTCACTGCTAGCCACTATCCATCTTTACCTAAAAAGTTGGATTTGATGGTTTCAAATAAGTTGAGCATAGCGTAGAAAGTTAATAATAAGTATATTTTTTGTTATATCTCAGATGTGACCCAGTTTATTTTCCGCCTAATCAGACAAACTGAAGTCGTCAGTAATGAATATATTCTTTGTTATATCACAATAATTAAAAAATTGTATTTCTGACGTTTCGTGACTTGACGCGAACCACTTCTTCGGAGTAAATAAATAACCGAAATAAATTAACAAAAGATGTATTTAACTATCAATAGAATCAAAAAACATTTTGATATTTAAGTTTAAGAAATGTAACGATTTTGGTAACTACAATGATAAATCAAGTCATAGAATGTAATCCTTTCATTTACACAGTCCGAATCTTATTCTGTGCATAGCCATAGCTTTTAATATTGTATAAATTAGTAAAAGATAAAATTTTGAAAGATTTAGACAAACTCAGACACCATCACAACTAATACGTGGTCTAGTTTAGTAATCTAAGCTATGTCAGTGTCCTAGGTTTCATATTCAGAACTGATTTTCTCTGCTCTCTTCTATAAGTAAGTTTAAATGTTGTCTCTTATGTGCAACAAAAAATAGCTAGCTACTCTTAAGTTATCTTGCACCAGAGACCCAAGTGTACGTACAAATCTGTATACGAGTAATTAGACGGTGCTTATCGTTTTACACATATTGAGAAAAGATTCTCATTTGTAAACATCACTTGAAGTTTCTCTTTTTTTAGAAAAGGAAAAAAATGAGATTTTTCTTAAATAGATCAACTGTTTGGTCACCTACACAAACAAAATATGTTTCTGACAATAATCTCAATCTTGAATTAGTTTTCATCTCTAAGTGATATTAATTAGAAAACTGTTGGAAACTGAAGAAGCTGGGCAGTTAGTCTGTCCTTGTATGAAACTTCTTAATTATTTACACCTTATAAAAGACTAACTTCAAATTCAGAATTTCCTTATTCTACGTTTTTTAAAATATTTTCATCTATGAACTTACAAGGGTTACTAATCTTTGTCCAAGTTTGTTTTCTGAGAAAACATTTGTTATTATTGCAATTTGCACCAATGATACTATGCTTACGATAATACAGATGGTAAACGAGATTCCATTTTCATGATTGAATTCATGAGTCGATCTAAGCTAGACGACCATTTGAAACCTGGGAACACTAGACGGCCATTCTGTCCTTATATGGGATTCCTCAGCAGTGCTTTTCCGCAATCTCGCACTTGAAAACCAATCCCCACAAAATTACTTCAACGAGATAATAAATCAGTATAGCGATACCGGTTTATTGGTATGGAGGTTAAGCGTTTGCAAGCAAGACCGGAGGTCCTGGGTTTAAATCCGGTATGCAGGATCGTGAGTGTGTACTGCAGAAGAGTTCCATACAAGGACAAGTTGTCCACCTAGTGCTTTCGTGTTTTCAATCGTTGTCTAGCTTAGATCGACACGTGAGTTAAACTAAGAAAATACTGCAAACTCCACATATCCCCATACCGATAAGATTCCATTTGTCTATTTAAATATACCCATATATTGAAATAATTTAGGTGACAGTTTTCCAAATTCATTTTCTGTAAATAGATAATATGTAGGTATTTATATCAATATGCCTTGTAAATGAAATACTAAACATCCTAATGTTTCAAAAACACTAATTATTCTAGCGCGATCATATTTGTAAGTTACTTTCCCTCAAAAAAAGATGACAAATTTAGTTCTGAATAATAATCAGGTAAAACATTTGATGATGGGTAAAAAATTGAGTTACAATTTACACATCAAAGACTATTTTTCATCAGACAACCATTGAAAATCATAAGGAAGTAAATAGCTGTTTTTGTCGAATTATTGGATTACGTAGCAATACAAATCCATAATTTTAAATTTAATCCAGTATCTTCAAGATTCTCTGTGAGCGCTTATCTTTTGCACCACTGAGTTTCTATCTACTGGCTTAAACTTTTGACTTTGATTAATTCAAGATATTAATTAAAAATCTTTGAATGGCATTGAAGGTAAATTCAAAATAATTGGATTACAGTCACAATGTTGTGAAAAATGATCATGTTTATTCAGATTATGAATAAAATTCAGAATTTAGTAGCTAAGTGGATAACGTGATGGCGTTTGAAGCGAACTGTACTAGGTTCCAGTCTCAGAGTGAACATCAACTCTGAGATACAGGTACATTCAGCCGACGACTTTTGAATAGGACGAAACACAAGTCCTAGATTCAACTACTAGTCACTATCCATCTTTGCTTATAAAAATTCAACATAATTTAAAATATTTGATGTAATTTTATTGATTTATGGCTTAAAAAAAATTCCTCTTTTATGGACTTTCACAATCATATGACTGTATTTCGCACTAAACATAAATATAAAGATCACTATGAACAATCTAATTTTTCCAACAACAAAAAAAGAGTATTTACATTTTGAATGAGTTTTATTGCATTAAATGAACATGTTGAAGATAAAAATCAAAATAATTTTTGAATGCATAATTATCTTATTAAAAATCAGTTTTTATTTATCCCGTCGTACAGTTATTGAAAGATCAAGAGTTGTATACGATTCCTATGGAGATGATTCTTCTAATTCTACTGATGATTACAATAATGTAACCTTTCCTCAAGAATTTGATGCATTTTATGGAAAGTCATACTTCTCATACGAAGATGCGAAAGATCCATTCAACGAAACAAATGTAACGAATGATTATTATTTTGATAATAAAAGTCGTGAAACGTATTCAGATGATAATGGATGGTATAATTATGATTTTAATGATCAATCTAACGTGAAGGATGAAAATTATACGTTTGATGAGAAAAATGAAAACGATAGAGATTATGACAGTGATTATTATTCAGGGCGGGATCAGGACGAAATCTGGAGTACACAGTATGGGTTAGAAGGACAACAAACTAATGCTAGAGAAAACGAAAAGTGAAAGGAAAACCAAACATCGACAACAACGACAATACCGATGACGTCATCATCAAGGAGACGTTAAAGGTTGAGATGATGTTACATTATTATTAATTTATTAAAAAAATAAGATTCCATATTTTTTATAAAGATGCGAACAGAATAACTGATAAAAGTGTACTTAAAATTACTGAAAACTGTGTTACTTGTTATGTCATGTCGGGTGGCCAGTAAATTTGAGGGACAAAAGATGTAAGAAGTAGTCTGAAGAGGTCAGAAAGGTTTTGTAGATAGTTTTTGTTATGGTATGGTACCAGATAGTTGAGGATTGAAAATATAGAAACATTTTTGTTCTTCCAAATTTGATACCACCTGTCAGTAATGTCAAGGCAATCAGCTTATTGGGGATTCAAAGAAATATAATCAAGCCTAGTAGCAAAATAAATACATTTAGACGAGTAGCGCATCCTTTTACATGAACGTTATAAAAAGTTCCGAAAAATCTCAGTTTTCTTGCTAACGTATAGCATTAAGCTGAAGGATCACTTCTTTGTTAATTAATAAATAATCATCGATAGAATTCCCAAATTCAGAGCAAATTAAATATTTAAGTGAAATGTACATTACAATATTTAGCTCTAAGACATTTCAAATGAGGATGATACACTTTTCTAAAATTTTGATGGTAAATCAAGTCAGTGTATTCATAGTTGTAGTTAACACTGTTAATATCAGCAAAGATGAGTGGTGGATAGAAGTGGAATCCAGGACGCGCGTTATGTTTTGTTCGAGACCCGTCAGCTGGATGATCAATTGCAATCCTAAATATCAATGGGAAGACTAAAACGAACAATGCAATGTGAATTGAACCTCACTCTATTGCACAAGTTACTTAAGATGACGTGGTGGCGTTCCAAGAGAACGGTACTAGGTTCGAGTCCCAGACTGGACAACAACTCCGGGGTTCAGACACGCCGAGCTGACGAGTCCCAGACTTAACGAAACTTGAGTCCTAGATTCTACTGCTAGCTACCATCCATCTTTGCTTACAATGTTTGTGACTTAGGGCGATATCGAGGAAATTTTTACAGGATGCGCATATGTCAATAAGAGACTGATCACTTTTGAAACAAGATACGATTAGAGTCTAATTAATTAATAATTCTCCTAATACAATTGCTAAGTAAAATTATGTTAACGTAGATAATTATGGTCAAGTAGTTTCTATATTGTCCGATTAAATTGTAAAATAGACAGGACTACATTCACAGATTAAGCTGCTATTTACTTGTGTAATTTGTTTAAATAAATCATATTGATTTCAACTATGAAATATGTAGTTTACTCAAATCTCAGTGCAATGAAATTTAATTGTTACGTAAATTCAATTCATTTATTTACGAATATATCATTGCATAATACAAATGAAATAAAAGAGTTGAACTTTAAATAGTCTATTGAGTTTTATTGAATTTTATGAAAAAGTTTTATAATTAGGATCGTTGACTGATAAACTGTAAGATATCATAAGTGCTTATTCGTTGGCCCAAGTTATTATATTAGATAAGCACGAAAAGATGCAATTAACAAAAATAGATCGAAACGATGTAGAAACAAAAATAAAAAGAAAGATGAAACCGTGGATATACGATTTAAAAGACAGAGTTCAAATGTCTGTATGAAGAGGTACTGGGATTTAAGATTGTGAATGCATCATCGCTATATTGAATGAATCACATAAAATTTTTAACCAATGACAATGGTTATCACACAGAACACAGCCAGGTAATTTGCATCTATCAAGATGGCTCAAACTATCAGTCGACTATTTGGTGAACTGACTCCACATTTCGATTATTTCCTCCTAGCTTCCTTCCAATCGACTCAGCCATCATCATACATCTAGGTGTTTAGTAGGTTGGCATATGTAATACATGTTTTAACCATAACAGTCGATAAAAATCCACCACTTATCAATTTATTTGCGTTAATTACTTATCACTCTGCATCTAACGTCAGAATTGCTAACTCGATAGTCACCAAATGTTTAAGAGCTATACTTCAAATACATCAATAAATATTTGAAACCTTATAAACTGATTTTCTACCAAGTACCTTATGTCCAACCTCAACATTTCTAATGTTTGTTGGCTGAACAATTTTCATACAAGTTAATTACGGTATAAATAAACACTTCAAGGAAACTATATCGTCCAAATTCTATTTGTTAATTCGACAGGATACTATTTTCTTAATAGGAAACATTTTACAAGCAAAGCGTTTGTCATTTTAAGTCAACTTATATTTTTGAAGAATTGTTTTACTTAAGGAACTTTAATAAGCCCAAAATTGGAATTCAACTACCGGACGTCAATCTAGAGTCAGTCAAAAATTGTTCCAAATAACAATGGACTAGTAAAAACAGTGAATTAATGCATTTATTTCAGTAATAAAAGTGACATTGTTATGACTAGGTATTAAGTAAATGAATCTTAGTCTTGTTATAAATTGATAATTATCAGCAGTTTAATTCCAATCAGGTCTCATATCTTGTATATAGAATTCGCTTAACTTAGTTTCTGTATTCCCATATTAGAAGCCGATATAAAAAGCAATTATTCAGATCTAAAAGGTTTCTATTCATTTTTGATAAATGACTATAATTATTGTACAGTGTTACATTTCTCCTCTTAATGATAATAATAATGAAACAGCTTTAATGATTATTTCAATATGAGATATATCATATAAATAACCAGTTAGTCGTTAAATTCGATGCAAAAAGAGATTTTTGGATGTGATCACTAATATTAGCTAGTTCTTGAAGTCTTGTTTCGAACTTTTGACTTTTAAATTCAACACTTTCCTCGTGTTGTTGATCATCAGATTCGTTCATCATGAATGGAAAACTGGAAAAATTCAATTGAGACCATGTGTTATTTGGAAAATTCATTTTTTCAGTATTAAAATTCGTTTCATTCGAATGTAAATTAATTGTCCTATTTTCTGTCTTGATTTTTAGTTGAACATCTAATGAAGAGTTTGTATTCTGGTCTTTTAGCAAAGAATTTAGAAACGACGTATTAAAATGTTCAGAAAATTGTTCCCTATCTATATTCTCAGATGTATTATAAGAATCATTTCTAAAATATATGAATATTTGTGTTTTGTTGTAGACAAATCTATGACTGGATACATGTAAAACAACTCCTAGTAAATAAAAATGTAAAATATTCATTTTCCGAATGTTTCTTCTGATGAAGTGTTAATTTATGAGGGTGAAATCATTGAATAGCATATGCTGTTATATATATATATATATATATATATATATATATATATATATATATATATATATATATATATATATATGATCATGTGATAATCAAATCTCCATATCGGAAATTATTTCAGATTTAAATCATTCAATTCAATAAGATTGAATGAAGCAACCTGATTGAAGCACCCATATTTTAATTTATTAGGAAGTGGCTGAAGCTAAGACTCAAGAATAACTATGGAGACATATATACTATAATTAAAATATACCAACTATGATATCCGGCTATTCTATTCATTATGACACAAGTGACACTAATTTAAGAGAATACAAACATGAAATCTCTGATATTTTATTCTGAAAAACTTAGATTATTTGAAAAGTTAAGGATTAAAATGTTCATTACATAGTTAACTATGAAGCAGTTAGCTTTTTGAACCTTAACACTTAAGTATAATTACTCAACGTTCTATTACATATATTTCGCAGTTATGTCATTCTAACTACATTTTTTTATACAAGCGTATTATTAATTTATAATCATACTTGTTAACTAAAAGTTATAACTTTTAAACTATGTAAACAATTTTATCTACTCAGGATAGATTTCGATAGGGAATGTTGGTGGGTGGTCTATGCACCTCCATGAGAAGTAACAAACGTAAGTAAGTAAACCATTTGATCACCTAAATATTCATCTTATATTTTCATTCCTCAATTATTCCGATTACAGTTGATTGCCTCTACAATAGGAATAAACATATTGTTAGGTCAATAAACAGTAAACTATCTCTTTTTTTATTATCGAATATTGAACACTGAATAAAATATATTCGGTGTTTAATTTAATTACAGCGACAGATAGATATATGTGAAACTTTTTCAAATGGTATGCACTGTAGTAAACAAACTAGAATTCTCATTTGATTAGTAATAACAAGACTTTATGAGAAGTAACTATTATTAACTAATTGATCAGTGTACTTTTTTAAAAGGTCAACCGTATACATGTACAAATATATTCTTGTAATTATCAGTATGAGAATTGTAGTATTTTCACTGTTGAATTCCATCATGACAATCATTCTGTTTTCGTTCGTATTTTAAAATTTTCTGTTTTAATTTAAAATATTAGATAAAGTTGAGGTTGTGGAGATTGCTGAGTTTGCATTGAGATCGTGAGTCGATCAATGTTAGACCACTAATTGAGAACCTCAGAGCACTGGATGGCCATTTCGTCTTAGGACGGTTCTCCTCATTGGTGTTTAACACGATCCCGTACTCACCATTCAAACATAGAAAATTCAGTCTCATAAGCGAACTCTTAACATTTAGACCACTGAGCCATCATTCAACGGTGTTAATGTTTGACTTCAACCAATCCACGAAACTGCATAACATTCTTCCATTGTCTTCGATGAGTAACTGCCTCACACCCAACACGGATTGAACTCCACTGGTTACGGCTTCTCACTAAAGTTAAGTAGTATAAACATTTGACCTAGTTCATAAACTTCAAGTGTTGAGTATGAAATAAATTCAAACTTTAGAATAAAGAGAATTAAGCGAAGAAAATTTTCTTTCTGACGAAATCATTTATTTAAGCTGTACATTAGTATTTATAGTTATATGGAGTCTCGCATCAATTTATGATGCAATCATCTCTATCCTTTTATAGATATACCTTTTCCATACACCTATTAATATGAATATACAGTGTAAGTAAATGATCTTGCCGAATCATTGGATTGTTTTAAAACTTTAAAAGTTTGTTTACATGGAATAAAATCTTCTTGGATTCGATATCAGTGGTTATAAATTTGTGTGAAACATTTATATTAATGTAATTTAATGTTAAATTTCGTCAAAATTCAGCACCATCTTATGTACTGAATGAATGTTATTAAGTAGATTTACTATCTAACGAAAAGTTCCTGCATGAATTGGCTCAATTCTATATTCAATCGACGACAATTGTGAGGCATAGTTTTGTGAATTTCATAGGTTTTTTAACTTACATTCTAATCTGTAATTTGCGCTTAGTTAACATTGACTAGGTTCGTTTGGTACTTTTACAAAATATCATAATCAATTTAACAAATGTAAGAAGATTGAATGCTTTGTTTCAGAATCATTGTTAAAGGTCTGTTCAAAACAATAATTTTGTTGTATGTGCTACTTATTTCGACAGAAGTAGTATATGACACTAGTCAGGAATAGAATGCATGGTAGCAAAAGGTTGAGAAGATCAAAGAGGAAGGAACGGAAACGGAAAACAATTGGTATGGAAATGCAAGAACAATGAAGTCTGAGACAATTATTGAACGTTTTGCAAATGGAGTATAAGTGTGAGATTTTTCTATTTTACCAAGGATCTGTACTTACCTGTGTTCGTTTTCACTACAATTTCACGTTCGCATAGGAAGCAGATGCTCATTTTCTTCGGTCGCTTTTTGAAGTATAATATTGCAAATTACGCTTAAAATAGTGCCACTTAAATAACATTAGTATTCAAGGGAGACTTGGTTTTAGTTGCGAGTGAGTTGCTGTAAAGTCCATGATTATTACTCTGTTGGATGTAGAACTCATTGGAAGGATATATAACTGAAACAATAGTATGACAAAACCCATAATGTTTTAGTTTCAGTTTGGAAAGGATAGAAGGCTTGATTGCCTGTGTTAGTCCTGGCAAAAATCATCTCTCAGTTGATCCGATGTTCTTTTGAAAGAGTCGACAGATGGATCCTCAACCACGTGCTGAGGTAATGAATCCAACTAGTTGATAATTTGATGGGAAAGTCGATAGTCAGAAGACAAGTAATTTGTTCTGGGCTTGTGAACGTTTTTGGAATGTCCTCGTAAATTCTCTGTTTTGGAAGACAAGAAAAATGAGGGCATATCAGGTGCAAATTTATCACTAAGCAATTTGAAAACTGTTATCACGTCACCTCTAGTTCTCTGATATGACAACGGGAATAGGTTTAGTTTGGCCAGTCGAGTATCATACGGAAGCTTCGCTATGCCGGGAATCAGCTCAGTTGCTGTTCTCTGAACCCTTCCCATAAGCTCACTGTCATTATTTAAGCATGAACACTGTATATAGTGTTTTAAAACGTTTTAGCGTCGACATGACTCAAAACCCTACGTATTGACGATAAAGTTCTAAAACCTTTGGCGTCTATTGCACAGCATTGTGCAGCAGTCTTTAAGTCTTGGCTAACGATAACCTCTTAGTTATTGTGTGTCTGGACAATAGGTAGCTCAGTGTTATTCATCATGTATGTATCTGTGCCTTGATGACCGATATGCATCACAACACTTAGAAGTATTTATCGGCAACTGCCAAGTTTCAGACCATTCAAATAATTTCTCCAGATCATTTTGAAGTTCTAAGCTATCTCCCTTACTTCGTATTCCTCTCCATCTCTTAACATCGTCAGCATATAGCAAGACCAATGATGATATTAGACGAGGAAGATAATTTACAAGCAAGAAAAATGACACTGGCCCCAAAACTATACCCTGGAGCACTCCACTAATAAGCACAGTTTCCCAGTTAGACAATTTGTGATTCACCTGTACTATTTGTTGGTGCCCAACTAGGAAGTCTTTTTATCTACATCAATAGATTTATTATTAATATAATCATGACTTATTAAAATTTAATAAGAAATAATTAATAATATAAGCTTAATATCAGAATGGGTTTTGTGGAGATTGGATTAATTTCAATAGTTGAGATCATGATTCAATTGAAACCAAACCACCATGGAAAACATGGAAGCACTGGATGGCCGTTTCGTCCTATTCATTCCCGTTATTATAATCATTATACAACGTGTATTCATCATAACCTTCATGATTTCCATGTGAATAATAATCTTTATATCTATCCGAACTTGGTCTAGTTGGTTAAGCACTAACTTGCGAAACCGATAGGTCCTGGGTTCGAATCCCGCGAGGCGGGGTCATAGATGCGCACTGCTGAAGAGTCCTACAATAGAACGAAACGACCGTCCAGTACTTCCAGGTTTTTCATATTGGTCTAGCTTCAACTAACTCATGATCTCAACTATTAAAATAAGCTCGATACTTTATATTGTCAATTCACATGTATATTTCATTTAAATAAATCATATTGATTTCAATTATGAAATATGTAGTTTACTCAAATCTCAGTGCAATGAAGTTTAATTGTTACGTAAATTCAATTTATTCATTTACGAATATATCATTGCATAATACAAATGAAATAAAAGAGTTGAACTTTAAATAGTCTATTGAGTTCATTATTATTATTATTTATTATTATTACTTATTATTAATATTACTATTATTAACCTTATCAATTTATTAAGTAAATAAAATTTGCGCTTGGATACAGTGAAATGATGAAATTTATTTGGTTTTTATATTTTTCCACATTGGTAATATTAATTTCTAGTAATGAAAAAGATTATTTCTATAAAGAATTTTATCCAAGTTCGGATAGATATAATGATTATTATTCACAAGGAAATTATGAAGGTTATAATGATTACTCGCCGTATAATGATTATAATAATGGGAATGAATATAATTATTATTCGAATGATGGTTATAGTAACTATGATTATAATTATGAAGATTATTCACACCATCACTATGATGACACTAAAGAACCAGAAGGATATGACGAACACTCTGACTATAGATACCATCCAAATCCCCATAATCAATATGAAACTAATGAAGGAAATAATTATGATGATAAATATCCTGATGATTATAACAATTTTGATTATTACAATAATTACAATGTTGGAGATCATGATAATCATCGAATTTCAGATAATAGTAATCATCAAACAAAGGCGCCTGATTATCAAGCTTATCGAAAACACGAAAAAGATGTGTTCAGATATCAGGACTATAGATTATATCATTGGAATAATCACCAACCATATACACATTATCATTATCATTATTACGAAGTGAAACCAAATAAATATGATAAGTATGATAAATATGATGAGTATTCGGACAACAATGTAAGATACTATAAGAACAGGCAAGAAAAACCACCACAATATACTACTATGAAACCTGATAATGATGGATTTAACTTTGATCCAGAACTTCTTATATAACAACATTATTTATTTTTCTCTAAGGTGATATATTAATAATATAATATCACAAGATTATGTATCCATATTTTAGGTTACGTAATAGGTTACTGCTATTTATCTTTTTATTATCCATAAAGCATATAATATATCATTTGTCTTCTTAATTGTGATATGATAGCAACCGATGGTTAGAGACCCTGGATGACATGGCTCAAAATCGTTTGCAATGGCGCAGGTGCATCCACTCTTTGTGTTCTCCCAAATTCTAATCTTCTGAATCCTCCTTGTCTCTTCTTTTCGCTTTCCAAATTTATTTCACTGGTTTATACTCTTCATATAACATCTTCAAACTCTAATCTTCCCGATTACTGCTTACACTTTTACTGCCTCTACAACTACGGGATTTGAATCGAAAACTGCACCTCTGTGCTAATGTGGTGTGACAACTCGAACTGACGTACGAAGTTCTATGTTGTTACTGACTGACTGACATCAGTGTGAAAGATGATACAGAGATATTCCATTTAGTTGAATAAATCAATATTATACATTGTTATTTTAAATTATGTAGATCCTTGAAATTTTCATTTGTAATAGTAATAGTTTATTTTGTTGTTATGTGTTATCTTTATCCTATTTTAAGATAACACTTCAATATGCATTTTTATGTTGCCTAAAAGTTTCATTTTCTGATTACGCATAAAATTTATTAATTTATGATAACTGAAGGTTAATATTGTTTTTCAATTCATTCTATTATGTCTCATTTATTTTAAATCAACAGATAGTTTTCACATTTGATATGTAATAAGATAGTGTGATTATTGTATTAAGAGGATGGTCTGTGGACAATTCGAATTTTAATCAATACGTCAAAGATTCGGACCACTTTCAGTTTGAGGAATTCAATTTTGTTACTATCTATCACACTTGAAGTATGGTTCAGAGATGAGTGTACAAATTTGATGTTGTTATTTATATTACATAGGGGTTTGCATCAGATTTATTGATTTGAAGATGATATTATGAATGAATAAAACAGGACAAACGACCGTAACCATGAGTGATTATGCAGTAAGAGGTTATCGTTCCATTTTTCAAAAGTTCAAGCAATCAACGATGTTGAACGACAGTCTTTTATTGTCTTGGGTGAGTATGTGCCTCACACCCGATACGGTTGTACTCCATTGATTACGGCTCCTCCATAACAGTATATATTGATAATTATTATGTGCTGACTAGTGAGTCGATTCCTGAGAAAATTTTCGGAGTTCTAGTGAGAAGCCGTGACCAGTGGAATTCAATCCGTGTAGGGTGTGAGGCAGTTACTCATCGAAGACAATGGAAGAATGTTGTGCAGTTTCGTGGATTGGTTGAAGTTAAACATTAACACCGTTGAATGATGGCTCAGTGGTCTAAATGTTAAGAGTTCGCATATGGGACTGAATTTTCTGTGTTTGAATGGTGAGTACGAGATCTTATTAAGCACTAGTGAGGAGAACCGTCATAGGACGAAATGGCCATCCAGTGCTCTCAGGTTCCCGATCGTGGTCTAATATTTATCGGTTCATAATTCCAATGGAATTCAACATTCTTCACAACCTCAAACTGAGATTTTTTCAAAAGAATATAATATTATTTCCTCGATCTTATTGTGTATTTTATCCATAATTTCACCATAAGTCACCTTAACCTAAACAATAATTCAAATCTCTTCGTCGATATTAAGTCGAAACTAATGTCAAGTTTCTGAAAAGTTATACTTTAAACTAAATTGAATTTCATCAATCGTATTTCATTGACATAGTAAGGAGCATTACACAAAGGTTAGGTTAGATCTTTCCAAAAATCTAAGTGGTTCATTTGAAATATATTCTAGTAGTACAAAAAACGGGGAGAAACAAGTAAAATATCGATCTATTCAAGGGGTTAGGCAATTATACATTTCATTCTAATTATCCAGGAGACTGTAACTAATAATATTTTTACCGATTCTTCTGTTAATCCAATTAAGACTGAACTAGATGTCTTACCATTAGAATTTGAAAATATTTTGTAAGATTTAGATATATGATTCACTTAAAGACAAAGTTTCAGCTACGGAATCTATTTATCCTGATATAAGAATTGGTGGTTCTAACAAAGGTTGAATTCTAAAGATTTAAGAGCACACTGATAGACTTTTGTAACTATTTCAAAAGCAACAACCACCACATAATTAGTATATTGACTAGAAAACATTGAGAACCCATAAGAAAACTAAAATCCAAAGACTTCAATAGTCACGAAATTTAATAAAAGATCAGATGGTGTAATTTCAAACAAGATTATTAAATTGGAAAGGATGAATCTTCTGGCAATTGATCAAACTAAATTTTTAAGATTTGGATAATGTATGAACCTGACTGAAAAGACCAAGTGTCAGCTAACCATAACATTGCAATTTATCAATCTACCTACGTACTAAAACCTACATAAAGACATACTCCACAACTATATGATCTACCCAAATTTTAAAAATCAGGGTTTCCTTTATGTCCGATTCTAGGTACGTTAGAATCACTATATCACTCAACAGAAAAATAGTTAATGAAATTGTTCGAATCATTACACCAAGACTTGTTGCAACGCAGTATTGATGACAATAATTGGACTCGTGGATGTAGTAAAAACTATGGATTCAACAGATAACAGTATTTCATCTCTAGACATAATATATATTTATTTAAAATAATCCGCTTACCGAAACAACCAATTACATACGCGAATAAATTCTAAAAAACACAATAGTACTGATCATGACAAAGGAAGTGAAAAAGCTTCTGCCTAACCTCTAAAGCTAAATAGATGGTTCTATTGGGAAGATTTTGTTGCCATTCTGGATAATATGACTAATATTTTGCCTTTGAAAGTTTCGTTGTCAGCATATATTCTTATATTTCTGTGGATTTTCTCATTCGGTTGACTAGTAAATATATGATTGACTGACAATTTTCGTACGGATTATAAGAACGAATTGAAAGAAAGCTTATGGGGTACGTAAAAAGCTTACTGAGTCCATGATATTACTCAGAATGTCATTGAATGTTTTGTAATTAAACTTTCTAGCTTAAAAAAACACACTATCACATCAACCACCTTAAGTTTAAGTATTCTTCGTCATTTCAAAGAGGGCATGATAATTGAAGATAGAGAATTGAAAACTTTGCACTTAAATTTTAAACAAATTTGAATCTATTCACTATTTAAAGACATTCAATATTGTTAGAAATGATATTATTATCAATCTAAAACCATTGCTAACACCTAACAGGGCTTGGTCAGGTGAAACAATCAGAAATTACACAACTCATTCCTAAGTATTGAATAAATTCTAGTTAGTATTTAAATTTTTTTTGCGGCATTGAATAAATTGTCACTGATAGTCGAATTATATCAATAAATGAATGAATATAAATACTGTTTAAAAAGAACATTGATGAAGTATTTTAAACAAAGATGTATAGTGGCTAGCAGTGGAATCTGTGCTTAAAAAGCTTGTGACTTAAGGCTATATCGAGGCAATACGCACAGTGTGCACATAAACCAAAAAGAGACTGATCAATCGCAGTCCTAAATAACAGTGGGAAGATACAAGTAAAACAACACCAAGTGAATTCAAACTTCACCCCATCGCACAAGCAGATGGCTATAAAAACTGAGTAACTAAGTGGATAACACGATGGCGTTTAAAACGAACGGTACTGGATTCGAATCTCGGAGTGGACATCAACTATAAGATGCAGGTACATCCAGCTGACGATTTCCAAATAGAACGAAACGTGCATCCTAGATTCCACTGCTAGTCACTAGCCGTCTTTGCCTAAAAAACTTGTGACTTAAGGCTTTATTGAGGCAATCCGCACAGGATGCACATATGTCAATGAGAGACTGATCAATTGCAGTCCTATATAACAATGGGAAGATACAAGTCAAACAACACCAAGTGAATTTAGTAATGAAGCATGTTTGTATTTTATTCCCACAAAATATTATCTTGCTAATTTCTACAGCTTGAATTTTTACAACAAAATAATGAGATGATACTTTTGAATATATAGAATTTCTAGTACTGAAAATTTATTTGTGCTGTTTAATTATTCAAATCAAAACCTTAAAGAAAGAAAGAATGATTGACGATAATTTTAATTGAGTACTTAATAGTTCTAAGTATTGTGATTTAAAACAATATATATGAGCGAACAATATTGTTTTCGATTAAATCCTCATCAGGCTTTACGTTTGTATACAGTACTATTTGTATGCATATACGAAATTATTAAACCAATCCAGTCAGTTTATTTAGTGAATGATAACAGTTGAATAGATTACATAGATGAGTGCAAGTGACAAGTGTACTAGCCGTGATAAGAATAATAAAGGTTTGAATCAATGTTACATAATAGGAAATAGGTCAGTGATTAGAAAAATATAGACACTGTAGTAACATTCATAGAAAGATTATAAGATTACGTAACAAGAAGTGTTCAGATAACTGGACTGTGAAACATACATTTGAGAAAAAAGAAAATGGTGGGAGTGGGTGAAGAAAAATAAACGAAGAAAGAGTATGGAAAATAATAATAAATAAAGTCATTTATTAACGTCAAGGGGAAGATAAAAATATTACAGATTTCTTATAAACACAAAGACTTGGATCGTTAGCTCGAATTCCTATAGCTTCTGCTATGTGTAACAGGCGAGATCGAATCCCATAACGAAAACTAGTAGGAATACGATAAATAATTTTAAATGAATTATTTCTGCCTACTACATGACTGCCATCGATGAAGTGTGATAGAACCAAGCTGTGTATTATCTTGACAGTACCTTTTCCGAACCATAAAGGGAGGTGTTCACTAACGTTTTAGCAAAGTTGTCTGGTAGTGCGCCCAATCTAGCTTTCTCCACAGGAGCAGCTAAATTCGTAGATACATATAGAAGTGGCATGATCAGGTAACTTATTCTTCGACTGAGGAATCACCATAGATCGGTCGGGTACGACAGATAGAGATTAGCTGAGTTAAACGTTCTCTTCACTGCTCTGGCCAGTCTATCACGTAGCACATCACCAGATACATCTCAATTGAAATGTACTTTCAGTCGATACAATAAGCAGGGAATTAGAGCTCATACATAATATGTTGATTGAAATGGGTTATCCACAAGATTTTCTGGAGAAACACTTGCATGTACCAAATAAGGAAATAGCGATATCAACGGTTGGTAAGAAACTTCTCTTCCTGAAGCTGCAATTCAATGGAGATGTGACTGGTGATGTACTACGTGGTAGACTGACTAGAGTATTGAAGAGAATGTTTAATGCAGTCAACCTCTGTCTATCGTACTCGACCGATCTATGGTAATTCCTCAACTAAAAGATAAGTTGCCTTACGACCGATCATAATTTACTAGTTATCCACCGATGAAATTTGATGGTAGTTATCAAATATTGCAAACTATTGCATGATAACTTAGTGATCTATAGGTTAAACATTTTCAATCGAATTCAAAAGTCCTAGGTTTTAACTCCGGTTGTGACTGTGGATGAAGCTGTTTGTTAGCTCTATTTTCGGAAGAAAAATGTGAATCCAATGCCTCTTGGGTTTCATTTATTGTCTACTGAGGATCAGTGAGTGATATGAACTACAAAAGTGAACAATCTCCACAAAATTGACTTCAAGTAAAGATTACCGTTTGACAACTTCTTATCACTAAATTATTATCGTAATTATTAAATATGCTTGACAGATACTATAGAACTAATAACCACAATGAATTCGGTCTTTATCGTTATTATCACGTTCATAACAAGTTTACTGAAGTCAGGAACCGATTCCTAAACATTAAATATTCATAATCACTCAGGTGGGAGTCGAACTCAAATTTTTCAACCTCTCATGAGAATGTCAAACCTTCAAACTACTAAACCGGGATCTATTGATGTAAAAGTCAAAGTTTAATCAATTTACGATATTTTAAAGCTATCTTCCATTGTCTTCAATAAGTACCTTTCTTACATCCTACATAATTGAATTTCATCTGATTTCTCATTTCCTCTCGAATCTAATCACTACTGAGTATGTGATCATTATCAGAAGAAAACAAAAACCCAAATTGTTCTTTAAAAAAAATTTATTTTCATTATTATATATTCCTTTTTACAAACTAGTATTAGACTTTTTCCAATAATTTTTTTATTAATATGACGGTTGATAATTATCATTGTATGTTCCACTAGAATATGTATTATCATCGGATGATCCTCCATTATTTTGATCATTATAATTGTTATTATTATTATTATTATTATCATTATTATTATTACCATTACTATTACTATTATCATCATAAGTTGATGGAGCATTATTATATGTTGGATTATTACTAGCTGCAGCATATTCAATTGGTATTTGTCCTTCATTATATTGTCCATTACCAGAACCAACAAGTTGATCAAATTTACCATTATATTTTCCTTTAGTTTGTAAATTACTTTCAATATTAAATTTAGCTTTAATATTTTGTTTCCCATATGAATGTACTTTACCTTTTGTATCATAATTAACAAATTTTTTTTTATATTTACTACCTTTATGAAAATATGTAATTTGATGATATTTTAAACCTTTATCTGCATTACCATATGCTATAAATTTACCATGTGTATGTATATTACCATGATTATCATTACCATGATTTTTATCACCATAATTATTATTATTATTATAATCATTATAATTATTTTGATAATTTCTATTATCATTATATGATGGATTATAATTATCATATGAATATGAATTCATTGAATCACCGTTTATTGTATATGAGAACATTAATAATAAATATAATGAGATAACACTTTCCATTGTTTCTGGGTTGTTTTTTTTAATTTTATTTTAAAATTTCTGTTCTATTATGATGTTTAGTATTATGTAATTGAAAAGTTTCTATTTAGTTCATTGATAACTCAATGAAGGTTTTATATAGTTTCCTTTTTTTAAAGAGTAAATCTAAATAAGTGCATGATATTACGTTATTATTAAAGAAATTATAACCAAATAAGTTGAGTGCATAGTTAAGTAATGAGTTATGTAGATAGTTTCTTCTCTTTTTTTTTTTTCTTTCTCTCACTTGTTTTCTACAAAAAAATAGATGTACTTGTTTCATTGAAAGTACATGTAAATCATAAGAAAGTGTATGATAACAATAAGAGAACTACTTTTTTTTCTAAAATTTTTAAACAAATCATGATAAAATAACTTTTTGCCTTTGTTACGAACTTTCGTTACTTTGGTTGTTCGCAGGTTGAATCTTTTAGAATACACTTTCAGTTGATAGAGTTTTCGGAGTTTTCTTTCAAATGACTTTCTTTGTGCTCTTTTCTGGAAGATGTGGTATAACCATGATTTTTAAAACTCTCACATTCTCGGTTCATAATTTCTGTACATTTCACCCAGTCATCTTCTGGTTCTTTTGTTATCTTCAAGTATTGGTAACGGATGTTAAATTGAGATGACTGTTTGCCAATGATTTGAAACAGGGTTTTAATTGTTTCATCAAATTTATTTATTTATTTAAACACATAAACATTGGTACAAAGAGGCACCAGATATATATATATATATATATATATATATATATATATATATATATATATATATATATATATATATATATATATATATATATATGAGGGCTGGAATACTGCCCGCGTACCCAAATCGAAGCAGGTGGTCTACTTAGAGGACCACACCCCGAGCCTTCGACTTGAAGGTCTAATCCACAAGGAAGTAGAGCAACGTAAGGAAATGAAGTCTCATGGTAGCCGGTGATCAAATATTGGTTCACGCGCCATTTGTTTCTTTAGGATACTAGAGTTCATGTACACCATTGTTTTGAAACCAGGGTTTTCCAACTCCCCTAGGTGATCCTCCGTATCCACTGACACGGTTAAAGAGTTGGACATTCACTTTTCATTCTTTCAACTTCGTAAATAACAACCCCGCCACGAGAATGCAGTGAGTATGACTTCCCTGGCAGTGGTTGTATGCACGTGATCATGTGAGAGCATTTCGAGTGGCAGAGCTGACTCTTTCCATTCTCAGACGTACTAGGGCATTTGAGGGGAAACAATGAAGTCTCGTGTGTTCTTCGAAATAATAAAGTTGCTGTAGCGTTCATGTTCCATCGTCTCAAGTTCTCTTCAGAGTATTCTGACCTTTGTAGCGTCGTTTACTCTGCAGAGATCAATATGGAAAAAATCTTCATCTTTCTTGAACCAAGAATCAAAAGTAACGCCTGCAACACTATCAAAATTAAATTTATGGATTGCATTAACGACTAAATCAGTATGCGATACTTGAAATCTACCGGAAGTAGAATATTGATGGGACAGGCAGATTTTCTGAGTAAGGGCTTCCATGACTCTGATTTAAGACTGTTCAAACCTCTTGTCTTGACGTTCCATGTAAATTTCTAGCTGCTCCAAAGAAATATTCACTGTGGCTTTCCCCTTGTCACCACTGATACGTCTTCTGATTGGACGCTAATTGTTGTATTTGGTCGTCTCTGATTAATATGTCGGAATTGCTCATCATTTATACTTGTGAGAGCGAGGAACCACCGCTATTCCCACGACGCAGAAGTAGGAACACAAAGACTGGTAAAAATGAAGATTTACTAGCCCCAAAACACGACAACGACTCTAGTCGAAAATGGACTTATTTATGTATTGATTGTACACCTATTTTGGTTAATAGTTAGGATGACACCGCATATGAAAAATAATTAGAGTTATAACAAATCATATGCTGTATGTCATGCTTAGCCTAGGTCATGTCAATTTTTAATACAAGAATATCGTATGTTATACAGAATAAAATATCATACGGGAAAACAAAACCGAATACTACACTGAGTAGTTATTACATTGAATTAAAACGGAAGCAATGTTGAGTAAAAATTATAATAAGTGAAAGAATATAATTTTGACTTTTCATCCCATCATACCACCCTCACCTATTTTTCTGAAGTTTAGATCCTGACTTCAAATTTTCTGACTTTATCCTCCCCCACGAATTAATGTTGGATCCTCACATTTCCAAGTTACAATTAATGTGACTTTATTTAAGACATTTCTCGCATTGGATAAAGAATCTGCTAAAAATGACTGGATGGCGAGAATAAACGATATTTGATTTGAGATCATCAGAATCTGATCCTTCCGAAACAATCTCATGAAATTTATTGAAAATCTCATTAGTAGATAATGGATCACCAGGGAAATCAGTATCTACCGAAATTGCATTAGGTCTTTGACCATCGTTTGATTCATATGACAAGAAATTACGTCAAAAATATATGAATCACCAGAAGGACTCGTATCTAGCCAAACGACTAGAGAATCCTGATAAGTAGATTCATCAGACACTTTTGTCGCAGAATGGTGAATCCCATTTGGTGCAACCGTATTAATTATGCTGATCGATTTATTTTCTGTTTAATCGTGCGCGGGTGCTGCAACAATTTCATGAGCATTTAACAAGACACCGTCTTTTTGTGAGCTCGGCAAGTCACTGCTTGTACATTACGTTTCGGGAATAATGGGATTTGAACCCACTACAGGGCACATCTCTGAAGTGGACATTACTGGACCATTGGGCGGATCATGTCTAACTGTTACTGTTTCGTTTAAATTACTGCTTATAAGTGTTATATCGGAAGCTGTGTCTAACTGTAAGCGGGTATCACACTCATTATTCTTGAGAGAAACATACTTTCTACGGTTACGGGAGCCGGTTCTTTTAAGCCGTCATATCAGCCTTCTGTGATAAATTCATAATCATCAAACAGTTTTTGCATTTTGATGTCTAATGTTAGTGAAGATATAAGTACTCACAATTGATTGGTCACTTTGTGGTGATCAATGTCATGCTTGTCTAGTCTTTATTAGTGCAGATCGAATGCTATCGATCATGTTGCAATGTGGCCACCAGTCTAGGTGACTCGACACTGCGGGCACTATGTATTGAAATTTAGACAGTGGTTGGAGGTAGTTGGAAGTAGGTTGGAGGTAGACTACCTCCAATCACCATCTAAATATAAGTACAACTTGTCAGCAAGATGTATACATACTGTATAAAATATACCCATCAAGTGTATCAAGTATGATCATAACAGTAAATAAATAAAGTCTTTAAATCGAAGAAAATTGTCAACTATTTTCACTGAAATAGTGTAATTTCAATTCACTATAGACTCTTGAATAAACAAATTATGTGGTTTTATCAAGTGTTCACAGTTTCTTTTCAAAATTCTCTGAACAGAATATGTGTTAGTCAAGAATGTACAATAATATTGATTCTGTGATAATTTTTTGTAAAAACAAGTTTGTTCACCAGTGCTAAGGTGATTATTAAATTTCATAGTTTACACCATAAACTAACCTTAGTTAGATAACAAATGAAAACCAGGAACCGGTATGGGGTTCTTCAGCATAATGCATCTTTTTTATTGCTAGGGATACAATTCACGACCTTCAGGTTCCATTCAAAGTGTTTAGTCTATGGATCATCAACTTGGCATCCAATAGTTTATAATTTTAATTTGAATCCGTTTGCGATATTTTACCACCATCGTTTATTCTTATTAATGACAATACTTCCTAGTTGTCGAACTATGATTAGTTCGTAGTGTAAACTACGAACAACAAATTTGTGTTAAAGATATGCACTATTTAAGCAGCTAAGAGAAAAAGATTGATTTAGCTAAAGTCACCCACTTGTGACATCAAAATGTTTAGTCACTGATAATTCATTTATTGCAATGTATTAGTTTGATTATTTTCATCAAAGTGAATGAAACTATTTTCGTCAACTTCGTTCAACAAACATATGAACATAATAAATATAAGAGCCAACCTAACAAAGGTTTCGAAGAAGGTTACTTTTATTGACGTCATCATTCCAAAATCATACTACCAATGAAATAATAATAAAAAGGTTAAGAAAAGGTTTTCAGAAAAATATTTACTACAGTCAAATGGAATACTATCGTCAGATAATTAAAACCACTGAAGACAGGTTGTTTGACCTCGTTACATCTACCTATGTTTACTAATTCAACTGCTCCTGGGGAGACAATTATTCAAGACGTATAATTCGGCGAGTCTATTATTGTACGACAGAACATTATCTGTCTTGGTTGAGCAAAGAAAAGTTGAGTGTGATTAACAGTATTATTCTTGTTCAGTTGATGGACAGAGGATATCAAGTTAATTCGGATGTCTTTAAAGTTATGCAATGTGTTACATCAAATTTACTGCATGTTTTAATGGTTTGTCTTTTGCGTACTACTGAAATTATAGAAATCCATATTCATAAATATATGCTTCATGCTGAAAAGACGTGTACACCGCCTCTCTCTATCTTGGTTATCGATACGGAAATGAGTTTTATCTTAACTTTAATGAAACCTATTCTTTCGAAAAAGAACTCGAAAAGTTTCTTTATTTCGAAGACATCAAGAACAATGGATTGGGCAGAATAAAATCAATTATTTATACTATTTTGGATTCTCATTAGTTGCTTACAACCAATACCATTTTAAAAGCAAAATTATCATCAACCTAACATGCTAACAACAGTGTAATTGGTTAGGCGTGAATATGTATCATCATAGGGAAGCAGCAATTCAGGTAAATGGAATGGAATTAAATAGATATATTTTCATGCCAGTATCATTCACTTGATCATCACAAAACGTTTAAAAACTGACTTGTATTATTAAATGATTTGTGATCTGAAAGCGCTGGAAGTGGATAGGACACATATTG